TAAATCACCACAATTTTGAAGTAAATCTAAATATATAAAAGAATCAATTGCATCATTCATTAGTGTTATTTTAGCAAAAGATGAATAGTTTAGAGTTAAACGATACCTTGCATAGATTCCACCTCTGTTTTCTTTAGTTTTTGTGTACTATGTAAATTAATATGCAAATGTTCAATTGGGTTTTTGATAGAAAATTCTGATTTAAACTGGTTGATGCTGTTTTTGTTGCCGAGAAAAAGCACCGCTATTTTTCATCATTGTAATTTTCTTTATCCATTAAATATACACATAAGTCTTCTTCAAGATCAAGTTTTTCCTTGATCGCTGGGTAGCAATGAATAAATACGTTTATCGTTCTTGATTACACGACCACCTGTCACCTGATTCTTTCAATAAAAATCAAATTCACTGAATTTCTGTGACATTCTTTCAGTCTTCTTCCTCTCCATTTGTTATTCTGTAAACATTTGTGCACTTTGTGATTTACAAAGCCACCACGAATACAGTCTATCGGTATGATATTGTCTGATTGAGTACGAAGAGTTCTGAATAGCAATGAACACAATGTTCAAATAATTTTTCATTGATTTGGAGTACATGGGTACCGCTTAATAATTGTTTCGATATTCCATCAGTAAAATAATGTTTCGAGTTACTTTTAGTAACTATAATTTCAGTTTCTTATATCCATTCAACGATACTCTGGGCGATTTCATTTTAACTATTATTAAATCTATCACATTTTTTAAAAACCTGTAAAATGACTATTCACTTAATAATAAACCTAGCACAATTTGTAAACATTGATTATTTAATTGATCATTTTGATACTTTTAGATGACGATTGAAGATCAATCTGAAAAGAGAAAATCTTCACTTATGAATGCATTTTGTAATGAGCTATTTGAAGCCGATGGTGAATTCATCATTCGCTTAGATACTTTACTTTAATCCCATCTACATATTGACTGGTGGGATTTATACGCGCAACACTACATAAGGGTGAAGGCGATGTGATTAAAGTGCAGAAGAATGGTGATATGCTTCCCAGTGAAAAATATTTACTTCAAAGAACAGGGAAGAACGCGTTCCGTAAAATTAAAAGCCCTTTTTTTAAGAAAAGAAGACATTCTAACAAAAGTGGAAGCGTTCCAAAATAGAACCATTAAGAACACATTCCATGTTTTTTGGAACGTTTTCTTTTCTCAAAACAAGCTAACTGTTTTTGGAACACATTCTTGGTCGTTATTGCTTGAATTTAGATTCACTATAAGAGTTCTCGAAGAGAAGTGCAGACATAAGTTTTTGAAAGATCGATTCTGGTGCAACTCGACGAGCTCTATCCAATAGCATGCTCTAATTTTTCGTAGCTCAAACTGTTATTAAAAAAATTGTTTGGAATCAGGACTGCCAGTTGTAAAGTATGACTAATTGAAGGTTCCGCCATTTTTGGCACCAGTTTCAGGGTGTCGTACTTCAGAGCTGTTATTTTTGAATCAAAAGTGACGCTAAATTCAGATGAAAGCGTTCATCAGTCAAAAGAATCCATTCTCAGGTATTTCTTAAGAGAATGTTAAAAAAAGCGGTCGGATTCCGATGAAATCCTATCTTGCCTGTTTCGAAATAGAATGGGCAGAGACATGTTCTATTGGCTCATGGAACGGTTCAGAACGCTTTCTATCCCGATAGAGAACGATTTTTGAGCTGAGAAGAAAGCATTCCGTACCAGCGTGGAACAGTAAAGAATGAGTTCCTTTAGACTCAAAACTTTTCTTTTTGTTTGTGAAAACGTTCGCTAAGCTGTAGAACACATTCTTCATGTAAAAGACAAGTCTCTGCATGTTTATGAATGCGTTCTCTTCCGTTATTTTTAGAAATATTTTTCACTGGGTTGCAGTACTCGACCAGAAACACAGTAGAGATATTACTTAAGATTTTACAAAAAATTCAATATGTCAACATGAAATGTATTAAGTCGCATAACTATTAATAGGGTAGGCTTCTGAGCCTCAAAGCTTATGGATGATATGCAATTACAGATGGAGGATATAATCATGCTATCAGAAAATTTGTGAAAGTTCTTGAAAAATTTTTAGGCTTTTCATGTTTTTCTTTTTCTTCAAAGTAATTGATGGGTATTAGAGCCTTATCTGGAGTCGATTTCAGAATTGTCGTCGGGATCCACTAAATTTTTTGCCAAAGATTTAGTTTTCACATAGGAACCTTCTATTGGTTATAAGCAAACCTTACTGAGACTAAAAGAGTCTAAAAGAGTTGGGTTCATACCATATGTATGCAGAGAACGATGTTCTTTAATATGAGGTAAAATATGAGTTTTTTCCTTGTTTTTCAAAAACATTATTTTCTTTATTAATGACAAACTCAATTAATAATAATTAGCATTTTTTTCGTTTTTTTCAAGTTCCAGAAACAAGATTCAGAATTAAAATCCATTGGAAATAAATAATTATTTTCATATACATATATATGTGTTACCTAATGTGATCGATTTGTTCAGTATTTCATTTCCATTTTATGTAGAGGCCTATGTAGGCGTATGTGTACCGCTAGATCTGCCAGTACTGCGCTGAAATAGGCAAATGTAGTTTCTTTTATCTGTCAAACAAACATTAATTATGATTTCTTTTCTTCCTGTCTTTGCCAATATTATTGCTTTTATGCTCTTCTGGAAATTCGAGGTGATTGAAATGTAATGCACGTTACTGAATATCTAAAGCGCGCTATTTAAATGAGAGAGCTTTGCGCCAAACTGTCATGTTGTAATCCACATCAATCATATTATCCTATAGAATAGCTAATAAAACATGTTTTTTCCATCAAAAAGTGATTGCTTCAGTGAAATGACGGTGATATTGAACAGGGTGCTATTATCTCATACATGGCACTGGTTATTGGAAAGACTGAACCAAATAAAAATAATGTGGAAGAAAAGTTCGTATTGAAAATTAGGATGATTGCTGATAAAAGAAAATTAACTTACATTCTTATAATTATCTTGGTTTTCCACAATGGATCTAAGGTAATAAATTTATAGAAAAACCTTTTATCCTCAGTATCAAATATCTCATTTAGTATTAGTTTGTATAGTTCTTCGATTTTGACAAATATATTCACAATAACCAGCTATCATATTTACGCGTTGCAGCAGTGTCACATATCCAAGATTTTGGAGATACCACCACGTCTCCCGCGGGAGATGCCGCATCTCGCGCGAGAGATGCGAGTGTGGGTGTGGGGATGCGCTTCTCTAAAGGAGATCTTACATCTCCAGTGGTGAATGACCACATCTCTCGAGTGTGCGTGTCGCGTCTCCCGCTGGAGACGCGGCATCTCCCACGGGAGATGTGGTGGCATCTCCAAAATCTTGGATATGTGACACTACTCACGCGTTGTCATTCAGAACCATTTATCTCATTCTCATATACGTTTCGTAAGAATCTGAACTTGTTCGCCATCAACAGTGATCAGTTTGGAATTCAATTAATGAATTCGATCGTTCTTATCATTGTTTAAGATTTTGTCACTGCAGAAGACCATATGAGTCAAGGAATGGTCATCTTCTTCAATCTTGACATAGCAAAATTTTCAAATAGTAACTAATCGAGTGGATGAAATCGAATGAGGCCGATAATCTCTGTTTTCTTCGACAGACATTCAGCAAAACTGAGTGATACTTCTTGGTCATTACTAGTAGACAAATAGTTATTTCAAATAAGATATTGTCTTTACCTAAGGAAGTTAGAATTAAAATAATTTATTCATTGTTAAATTCGAATTAACCACCATAGAAAAACGAAAAGTACAAGTCAACTTTAGAACAAAACTGTGAACTGAAAATAGCATTAGAATTACATTCTGACAGTTTTATGTATGATACTTTTATTTCACATGTAATTTAGTTTTGTATATTTCTGCCTTCGCAATCAAATAATAACTACATATAGGACGATAACGGAACTAAGGAATCATGTACCTAACGAAGACGAAGGAGTATCTTTGAAAACGTGGTTGAAAGAACGCAAATCAGAATGAAAGGAGAAGCCTATAAAGAATAGCTAACAACAAGAGTAAAGAAGAAAGCACGTGAGTGCATGCGTATATAAGCAGAAAGATAAAGTGTGAAGTTAAGGATATCAGTGAGAATTGGCTATGTTCAAGTGTCCGATGTACCACACAAGCTCGCTCAAATTGTTGAACAAATTATGCCTTGTATAGCATTAATCATAGATATTCCATCAAAATTCTTTACATTATTGTCTATGATATTGAATAAACTTGCGCAATAGACAGAATACTAAATCCTGACTCATTTTCATGAGCATTATGAATGTCCTTAGCCTTTTTTCAGTAATTATTATATGGGTCTTCCAGAACATGATCAATTTTTGCCAATATTGGTTTCACAAAATTGTAGGACTATAATTCTAATGCAGAGTTCATTTGGTATGTTTTTTCCGGGTTTGGCTTATAGTTTTGATTTTACAATAATGGTTGGTTTGAACTAGATTATGAATGAAACTATTTTAATTTTGAGTTTTGTAGTCGCAAACATATTATGCGAAATATATTGAATAAAACTTTAATGACTATGAGAGCATATCATAAACAGAAAATATGTAAATCATTTGAACTGTTGAAGAGCTATTCCTACCTCCTGTTCGATTGAACATTCGAGACAATGTTTATAAGTAGAATGAACAATGTAAATAAAATCAAGGCGAATTTTTTATTTCTCTCTATCATCTCAAAGCAAAAAAATCAATCATATTATTTGGCTTGCTAGATCACAATCACAACTGAAAAATTTTGAATTGCATCCACTTTTTTATTTTCTTTCTTCATCTTATATTGAAACATAGGTTACAATAGTATGTTCTACACCGAAGAAAACAATCTTCAAACGTTGTATATTTACACATAAAATATAAAATAAGAAACATACAAAAAAACAAATAAACGAATGTTTCTTGCTTTATCTTTTAATCTAAATTAGTTGGACTGTTATACCATTTATATATTCTTAAACATAAAACTGGATCAATAATTACTACAGAATTATTATATTTAGACTTTTGTGAACATGATCTTGACGAATCGAACCACATTTTTAATTTATGATATCGATAATCACTACTAACATTCAGTGTTATTTGAGATAAAATCATCCCCATATATGGACCAATAAGTACAAAGTTTGAAGAAATTAAATGTAAAATATAACTATCTTTATCAATTATAGATTGATTATTTGCTTGAAATATTGGTGATATGGCTTGAATTTGTATATCTTGTTGTTTTGTTTGTTGCATATTATCAAAACGAAATTCAAAATAATAATCATATAAATCACGTTGTGTCGGCCGTTTTGAATACCATATACGAACACATCGAGATGATAATAGAAAATGTGGTTCTTTTTGTATGGCATTCGTTTTATCGAAACGTTCTTGAAATAATGGATAAGTTTGATATAAAGATTTTATAACATATGTTCGAACAATCGATAAATGCTCTCTTATAAGTAGTCGAGTAAGTTTTTTTGCTCCAACTTTATTATATCTAAACAAAGAAAGATTAAATTTTAAAGAATATAAATGAATATCTTACTTTCTAAATAGAGATATCCAAAAAGGTACTGAATTTACGATTTGATTTGTTTTACGACAAATTAATGCAAATCTTCCAATATCCTCTAGTGCAATATACATAGCAATTAGATACCATAAATCAAATGGATAATCTTTTTCATGATAATTATTTTCAATTACAGATGTTCTTTCTAAAGATTTCTTTTGTTTCGGGTGAATTAATTGTTCTTCAATGACAACATTTTCATCAGATGATTGTAGATCATCAAAATCACTTAAATCTTTTTCATACCAGTCTTGTTCATCCATTATTGTTTTACTTAAATGTGAAATGTGTTCGAAAGACGAATTTTTGATAAATGTGGACAACGATAAACATTACTAAAACCTAAACTATGCAAATAAAGATGACGTTGTTATTACGCAACTTGTTTATTACCTTCCAGAGCAAAATGAAGGTGTTACCCATCATCGCTGTGATGATTGTGTTTGAAAGACTGATGAGACCTTGACTACTAAGTTTAATAAAATGAGAATGTTGTAACCATTTTAAGCTCAAAGCAGTAAAAAACAACTTATTTCAATCATTGTGCATGCAGATAAAAATCATAATATGTTGAACAACTTATCGTTTGTTCCCTAAGATATACAACTATTCCTGAGATATTAAAAAAGAAAACAATTTTTTAGATTAAAAATTTACTTAATTTACTATTTAAATCTGTTTTTTTTCGTATTTGGAAAAAAGTCAATAGATGTCACAAGAAGTTCGTAGTGAGGAAGATTAAGGCGTAACTAAGCCACCATTAAGAAACGATTGTCTGTTATGAAAGTCATCAGCTGTGAGAATAAGTGTAAATATTAGAATTTGAATTTTTATTGTATTCATATTAGAAACATGCCTGAAGATATACGAAAGACTCATGTTCTAGTAACAATTGCAAATTATTTTGGTTTTGATCATGATGCACTCGCACCACTATTTGATCATCGTGCGTTAGGAAATTTTCTTGACGATGCTAATTGTCCTTTACTTTCAGCAACACGTGGTCATAAACATTCAGTTCATCTGTCTAATGAGGTAATTTATCAAATATTATATTAATAATTTATATTTTTGTCTATTTTTCTAATAAAAAAAAAAAGATTAAAGTGACAGAAGGTTCACAATGTCTTGTTCAATTCAAAGTTCGACCTGATGTAATAACACCAGAAAATGTTCATACAAATATTTTTTTATCATCAATGATCGATTCACCATTGGATTCTCTGTACTATATGATTAAATCTGTATTTACACCCGCATTACGTGATAATAAATCTGGTTCATCTACTAACCAACAAATTCAAACATCATTAAATGAACTTGAACAAATTCTACGTGCCGTAGGAAAAAAAAGTGATAGTGGTTCAGCAATAGGAAATATATTTCATCCAAAAGATGAAATTTATTATTGGATTGATATTGCACAGAATACATCAAACAGATCGAAAGATATTGAACGAGCTAAATATTTTCTTGAAGTACTCGATCCAATTAAAGCAGATTTTAATAAACTTGAAAAGTAAATATTTGTAGAGATTTGATTAACTATGTTGAATGTATTCGAATTTTTAGTTTGACTCTCACTGAACTGATCGAAGTTGTTGATAAAACACAAGGTAATATTTTCAAATAACGAACGAAAGCAACTGTCCAACTTTTCCATCGCTTTTGAGTCAGACCTACTTTACATGTTGTATAAGTACTAATGAGCTAGGAATACTGTTGAAAGGAATGCGGGTTGTTAGATTATTCCTACCCCGATACTACATTACGACGGTATTATTTAAGTATAATATATCGGCCGTAGTCACCTCACAAACAATTGAAAAGCTGAGTTTCACGTTTCGGATTGGAAATTTTGTACACAAGTAGAGCATGTTTTTAAATCATTCATGTGCACTAGCAAGTTCAGATATTCTTATTTTAGGAATAGATTAACGAATACATTTGAAACTTTCACAATAAATTATTCTCTTTGAGGCCACTGTCTATGCAAAGTTTCAAATCGAAATTCGAAACGTAGTATTCATATGATTCTTTCTGAAAAGAACCATCATATTGTACTTAACGATATACCGTCATAATGCAGTAAAAGAGAGTAAGTACAATATATGAGTACTATATTTTACTACCAAATGTTGAGATGCTCATATAGTTTTGAAAAATAAGAAAGAAGTTCAGGTGATGGTTGAAATGAGACTAGTAGTTCCAATTGAATTTTTTTCAATCAAGTCAAGAGTATTTTTCGAAAGTAACAATCTTCTTTTAAACTTAAACAAAGGTTCTCGAGGTTGAACAATCTGAATCTATAAATGTTTTCCCCGAAATTCTCGAGTTCACTTTTCGATTAGTAGAGATCCATTTTAAAATTATAAATGAACTTTATAAAACCTAATTCAATCTTGAGATATAGACTTGTTCTAACCGATAAAAGCTAACTTGAAAACTTCGAACAACCATCTATAGATGGTAATTCTTCGACTGTTTTTTATTTCCTCATATTCTTGTTAGGAACCACTTTCTCTATTCGAATTACTATTTGGATTCTTTCTAACGCTCATAGTAGAAAAAAAATTGAAAATAAATCTGGTTGAATAATTTTGATGTTCACTATGATTCTGACTCAAACGTGATTGAACAGCTAAGAGACTTTCCTTAGAGGATTAATTTATTGATTAAATTATTTTTCATTATTATTTCTTTCTTAGACGTTTACGATGAATTATGGAAACAAGTTGAGCATGATGAATATCCAGAACAACGTATGAAAAATTTATTATCAATAACATCGAATGCCTTTGTTCAAGCAGTTCAAAAACAATTATCAAACATTGATTTATGGTCTGATTCAAAAGATTCCATAAAAAATCGTGAATATTTACGCAATGGTGCTACTATATGTGAACAATGGTCTCTTGCTGTTGAACAATTAACAGGTACATATTGGCGTAATTATAATCCACATCCATGGAAAGGTGAACCATTCAAAGCAACATATTTATTACAATTTAAAAAACGTTTAAATGAAATTATAAGTATTCGTTCATCATATGAACAAAGTATACGTTTTAGTTCAACAACCAATAAAGAAAATTTATCACCAAAAAAAGTTTTTGCACCATTTACCAATCTGAATGCAATACAAATTGATCCATATACAGATTCTCAATGGTATTCAGCAGTGAATCAATTTGAAAATTTAATGACAAATACAGATCGTGATGTAGCAAAACAATTACGCGAACATTTTCAAACAATACGTTCAAATCCTCAACAAATGTTAGTTGATTTTAAACGTTATAGTGATTTAATTCAACGTGAAACTATTCGAAAAGATTTAGCATCAGAACGAGAATTACTTTTAGGACAATTAGAAAGTGATATAAGAACTTTAACAGATGAATTTAATAATTTAATAAATGGAAGAATGGGTGTTGGAGGAAAAAAATCTATAACAAGAGGTGTCAATCGAACAGTTATTGCAGGATTACTTGATGCTAGTCGACAAATTGAAACAAAAGTAAAAATTTTTTGTTTTCTTAAATTTACAATTTGAATAAATGTGTTTTTTTTTGATAATTTATGAAGGTTAATAATATAATTAATGATGGAGAAAAATTATTAGGTGACTTATCTGGTTATGCACGTGTTGCTTCACTTGCTAAACAACTAAAACAAGATTTAATTAATTGGAGAAAAGATAAGTTTCGAGAATGGTGTCAAGATACAATACGTGCAATTGATGATCCAAAACAAGAATTAAGGTTTTACTTTTATTAGAATAAGTCTTTTTTTTTCTACAGAACTCACATATATTTGCGAAAGAAAATAATGACTGTAAATCTAAATCGAGATTTTTGTAACTTTCTCTTCCTAGTTCCTAGCAATCGTGGGAGTGTTCAGAACTCGATAAGTACATTCTCTCTTGCGGCCGAAGACACCAAACTACCTTTCTATAGTTTCTTAGCAAGGAAAAAGGCGTTAAACGACATTACCAACAAGGTTTCAGCTGTTTTAAGAGGTTCTAAACCCTTCCTCGTAATAGACACCGCTCCTCAAAAATTTGTACGCTTCAACATACTAGAAGATGCAGAGTCTTTCTATCGTAGGTTTGAATTTAGAACATTCCAAAGCCTTTTTTGAAATTTGAATGAGTTGAACCCGTAAGTCAAGATTCTAAACAGTGTCATATGATACAAATCAAAAAGTTTGAACTGATTAAATTGTAACTGTGAAGATAAATCAGTATCGATGCTTCTGAATTTATTAAGATGCACAATAACGCGTAGAGATCTGCTGATAGATATAATGGATTTATATAAACATTTTATATACATCAGTTTTATCAATAGTTAGAATAATAACAAAGTTGAATTAAGGAAAACGAAATACAAAAGTTGTTAATGCAATTCCTGCGCGATTATAATGTAAAACACGATGTAGCAACTCTTGTCAATGACAAAAAAAAATAGTTCTATTCTATCTATTTTATGACACACCTTTTCACTATTCTTGTCCAGAAATTCACTAAGGAAATAGTTCACATATGAGAATGAGACGTTATTCATATACGATTTGTGATCGAATATCAATTTCTGTTACGAGCTGGGAGATCGGCACTTTTACTCGTACACTTCAAGACTCCTTTTAGATTGTATTTCTCAAGCGATTTACTATCCTTGGAAACAACTATAGTTTGCTAGAGATTTTCTACTTTACATATTTTGTATTCGTATAATGAGATTACATGACACAAGATGTGAGTTCCATACTTTAGTCTCAAACAGGTTGTACTAACAAGTTTTCATTTTTTGTCAAAATTATTTTGAATTTTAGTCTTGAAACAAGTGGTCGTTTAATGGAACTTGATTCTCGTGATGGAAAATTACGTGTACTTTATGGAGATCGTTTAGTTACATTACTTAATGAAGTTCGACAATTATCATCGCTTGGTTATGATATTCCATCAAAAATTATTAAATGTGTTGATATTGGAAAAAAATTTTATCAATATGGAGTTGAATTACAAGCTGTAAAATCTTTAATTATCTTTTTTTAGCTATAAAAAGTTTAAAATATATTTGTATTTTTATTCTTAGGTAGCACATTTCTATAATACAATCGATACTGAAATGATTCCAAGTCAACAATCAATGATGCTTGATTTAGCTAAAAGTTTTGAACGTCTTGTTAAAGATCCTAAAGTATCTCGTAAGAATTTGTTTTCTTTTTCTCTTCTATATAGTTATTGTTGTTTATTACT